GAGGAACTTCAGGAGTTCCATCGCCGAAATCCAGGGTTGCCCACATCTCATGGTTAGGAGGGAAAGCCTCGAAGAAAGCAGGGTCGAGACCCAGGGCGGGGTCAAAACCTAGGACGGAACCAGGATTGGAACCAGTAGGAGCGGGCAGGGCTGCCAGCCTGGCAACCTCTGCCTCCCTCCTCTCCTTCTCCTCTTGTTCTTCCTTTTCTTTCCTTTCCAACTCTTCAGCGGCGTCTAGCTCGTCAAGGGAGTTAAGACCCGCGAGAATCATCTTCTTCTCGCGAGCGAGAAGAAGCCTTTTCTGTTTGCGAATGCGGGCGACCCTCGCCATGGCCTCCTGGGCCTGGGCCGCGGCCCGCTCCTCCTCCTCCTCGAAGCGCTCCTTTTGCTTCTCAATGGAAGCCCAGTCGGAAAGGGTCGGCATCTGATTCCTCTCACGATAGTCACAAGGCTTGCCTTGTCTAGAACACTCGGCGCATCGATTGTACTTCGAGTCGGGGATTGCAACGCAACGGCGGGGACGACCTTCGAAATCAACGGACTTTTCACAACGGGTACAGGGAGCCATTTCGTCACCGTGCCGTTCAATATGGATTCCTAAAGCAATACACTCCTTTCGTTTCCTTGACCGTTCAGAAGACATATTGAAAGAAGAAGAGGGCCGTTGGCTTTCTGACGATATTTCTTTAATCGTACTTAAGCTTGGGGACCAAGCTAAGCTAAAAAGGGATAGTGTCACGAATCACGTGCCCACGTGATACTTGTCATAATAAAGAGGCGCAACCCTCGACAGGCACATCCAGGTTTCTTATACCAAATAGGGATGCTTAGACTAGCTAAGCGATCCAGGGATTTCCTTCGTATCTTATCACGTGACTAGTTGGACCGACTGGACCGACGATCGGTCTGAACTTCTGGAACGACAGGACCAACCAGCGGTCCTGGCAAAGTACAGGAAAGTGAAGGGTCTATATAAGACTGGCACGTCTGCCATTAGATAGGAGCTTCGTGCTCAACTTAGTTATCAATCTTATCATATTAGTTTGCCATCTTTGATACAAGTAACGAGTTCACTTCCAAGTGAACAACCCGATAGTCTTCTTCTTATCATAGCATACCAACCAGCGAACACCCAGCCAAGTTTAGTTAGCCAGTTTGAGTATTCGTTACATTTAGCTTCAACGATGTTGAAGTGTCTCTACAAGTTACCCGTAAGCATGAAGTAAATCCTTGTTCACAATTGAATCTAGTGCTAATATCTTAAGAATTAAATTCTCGAAGACCCTGCGAAATTAAGGTTAGGTTAGGGTTTCTACTATAGGAGGCTCACGGTCCGATCTCTCGTAACAGCTAACTTGTACATTACTTTCTGTAGTTAAGAAAGCCTATTCCAAGACTTTACTAGGTACCCTTGACTATTATGATGTCCTGCTATCCGTTAATAATAGGGTGATTTGGCGACTACTTTTTAGTGGCTATTATAAGGTCAAGTCCGTAGTAAAGATCAAACAAAGTTTGACCCAAAGTGTTGTCACTACCAAAAGTTATTCTATTAGTTATCTTATTTTTTAGTCCTCAATTGAGCCTAGTTGAGGCGATATAAGCGTTCGTGTTCTAGTAAGACTCCTTGTATTTGTATTTATATCAGTGCGTGTTTGACTCCGAAAACCGTCCTTGCGTGCTCTTTATCCGATACTAACTCGTTAGTAGAACCGGTCTGCTAAACCTCTTATAAATTTATAACCCTTGTTATTTGTATGGTAAAACACTTTACCACTAACATTAAAAATCGGTTGCCAAATCACCCTAGTATGAAAGCAACTGTTGATATACGGAGGTCTGAAATTCGACAGGCAATATAACTTCTGATAGTACGATAAAACCCCGATTAACAATAACATCTGGATTACCTAGGACGAAGTGGTTCCAGAAATTATCACATGAACCATAACAGTCTCGGCGAATGATTAAAAATTGTATCTGAAAATTAAAATGTAAGATTACTCACAGAAGTGCTATTCACCCACTAAGTGTACTTTTCCGCCCCAAAATGTAGTGACCAAAAAGCACCTACTGCGTGAGTGTACAAACTTTCATCAGACGAGCGTGCCATGCGGGCAACAGGGGTCTCTACTGGAACATGTTCCAACTATTTCTCGGTCTAATAGAACATGAGAATCGTGCTTTCGTAGGGCTACCTGGACCCCTCAAAATGATACTTTGCGGCAAGTTTCTCAGTTTTAGCTTTTCCGAATCACGACTCAAGTCCATCTAGCGGTAGTCGGGTGGTCAGACCAGGAACTACAGGGTACCTTGTAGTCTGTTAAGTCAGTATGGTATTTCCTTTGGGACTGGGTGGTGTAGTGAAGCGAACAGTATGACACTATACCCGATACTTCAGTGCGGTCAATCGTCACTGTCACAAGTGCCAAGTGGTGACTTGAAGCGATTCCCCTGAAACTCTCTTACGAGGCAGCTTCACTTAGAGGAGAGCTTGTACAGGTGTACTTACAACATTCTTGTAGAATACGTTCAGTAAGGTACAGAATAAATCCGTTTGAATTTAATCCAGACACAAATATTTCCATTCTGCTCAATTCTGGGACAGAAAAACTTGAGTAGCTATTCGAACAGAGTCCCCTATCAAAAGCCTTAGTGTTAAAATTATTACAAATTACCTCTGCCAACAACCTACACAAAGCATATGCATGTACACCCTTGTAGCAGCAGTAGTACTGATATGAAATGTACATCTCCGAGCTCAATTTCTTTCGAGGTTGGTTTCTAGATCTGCAGGGTATCCCCACCAGCGGATTCAATGGAGTATAAAGTGAACGCACATCACCACAACCTTTCCTTCTCCACCATAGCTCACAATCAGACTCTTCACATCTACCACTTCATCCAAAAACAACAAAACTCCAACCCAAAAATCTCAGCAACATGCGTTTCTCAATCACATTCAGTGTCCTCTGCCTCCTCAGTCTCGCCTCTGCCAATAATAGGAACGGCCTCTTTGTAAGTAAAATAGACTACCACCCCTTATATGATCACTCAGACCTTCTTTCTCACCTCAAACCTACCTCGAACCCAACCAGTTTACAAACTAATGATTAAGTGTAAAGACATGCAATACGCAACAAACAAATGATTGCAAATTCCAATGCGCCCCATATGCACCGACCTGCTGTGATTATTATCGTGCAGACTCCTGCGGTTGCACGTGTAACTAAAGGAGCAATGTCCTGCAGAAGGCGAAGCGGAGGTGTTGAGGGACTGCTATATACTTGTCTTTCCAGAAGGGATCACTCTTTCCATTGTTGAACTCGGGTGGAAGTCTGGCTCGGGATAGGGGTGGAATTCTGAATGAGGGCTGTTTTGTATCATCAAAATTGTGCCTTGTTTAACGTTTTATTCTGTGGAGTAGTTGCTATGTACCGGTACCTCTGAGTTGATTGTGATAGGATGGCTGGTTACTTATTTTGCGTCTGATTCCACTCACTACTGGTAGTACTCGAGTATGAATAAAAAGATGGGACGGTTCCGGTCCTGGATTCTGATTGGACAGTGGGGGTTATGTACCAAATCGGATGATCTCAAGCTGTTTATTACAATTTCCAATTGGTATATGAGCATGACGAACATGATTTACTGGAGGATCTCCATTGATCGGCCCCATATTTGTCTTGTTAGCAATGCTGTGAGTATCGTCCGAAGTGTGATGAATTTGTAGGGATGAAGGTGCGTAGTCTAATCGCTAGTAAATATGACGAACTGAATTGACTTTCACAAGACCCTCTTGATGGGATAATTGATGACTGATATTCACTATCGAAACCCACGGACCGCCATCAGACGAATATCAGGCTAAGCAGAAGAAGAACATTCACTTGTGTTCTTCATTATTCATACCCCATACAGTACGAGTACCTTGAATTCTTGGCAATTTAACCGACTCGGCCGCTGTGTCGCATCCCCACCTCATTGCATACCGGCCGTCTCAGCAGCAGCTCCTCCAATCTTTTCGAAAGCAAAAACCAACAACCCAATCTTTGGCGCTGCGATGCTCGCACATAGCAGCCATCATCTACACACTCCTTCCTACACACACAACCCCTCAAATCACGCCCAATGTCCTCCTTCAAACGCACCTCCGTGATAGGAGGGCCACCTCCCCGAACGAACCACAACATCCTCTCAACCCTCAAGGCGACACAGATGATCAACGCAAATGATGAGTCTAAAGCCGTCCTTCCTGCCGAAATTATCTCCACGATCCTCGATTACCTGCCTGTGCCCGACCTGCTGAGTTTTGCCCGGACAAGCAAGAGGATGCTGGAGATGGTGTACGAGGACTCGAGGTGGGTGAAAAGACTACATGTCATGGGCGTTTGGAACGAGCGTGAGGCACGGAAACGTTTTGAGGATGCGAGGAAGAGGAGGCTGGAGGGGAAAGGTGCTGGTGGGATGGGGGGAATACCGCCAGCCATTGGGGGACCTGCAAATGGAACAGGATATAGGAAAACGAGTACGACACTCTTTGATGCCGGAGAAGAAGAAGAAAAGCAGAAGAAAAGCACCGAGCTTGCAAATCGACCCCCGCCTGTGGTAGATGGATTCGAAACGATGACTCTGGCACCTAAACCGACCCGAGCACCAATGCTGGATCCGGAAGCTCTGCTTAACATTTTCAAGGGCGTCCGGAGTATGAGGGGTACGGCGAGACTGGAGTATGGAAAGATATATGCTGCTCTTGCGCCATTTTACTATGATCTTGCAAGAAGTAAGAGTCATGTTGATCCGGTCATCTTCAGGGTGTATCGTGACCCTGAGCAGCAGGCGCAAATGCTGGCCCATTTGACCATTTTTGCAAGAAGTGATTGGGCACAGGGCTGGTCACAAAGAGAGGAACGACTTGTCACCATGATTGGAGTTTTTGAAAATGCGGTGCTCAGGGAATTTGAGCAGGGGTATGAGGCTTGGGACGTGGATGGGAGAATGAAGCGGTATGCGCATGTTTTGGGGGTGTTAAATGGGGGGCATGCTTGCATTGAACTTTTTGTTCAGAAACATCCGATTTTCAATGATTATTTGGGAAATTCTATGGAGTGCATTAACCAGGCGTCGAATGATGAGATTACGTTGGAGCCTTCGAGAGAGTTCTTGCAGAAGCTTTCAGTTAAGATCAATGAACAGGCGGATGTCATTGATCGGGTGTTTCCTCCTGGAGAAGATGTTTTACAGATCTTTTTGGATAAGGTTGGCGAGGATGTACTCATGGAGTACGTCACACCTTTGTTCGACGAGACCCATGAACGCAACCTTACTTCGTACTTGAAAGCTGTTGCCGGGATTTTTGAACAGAGTATGCGATTTGGTTTAATACTGAGGCGTACCAAAAACTCGGGAGATGACTTCCTAGAGAAAGTCAAGGCTACAATTGCCAAGGTTTTCGAGCCCCATGTGGATCTATACTTGCAAGAAGAAGCCGATCACTTCAAAAGAAAAGCAGAGGCTGAAGTTGACGAGTGGGAAAAGAAGCTGTCTGAACAAGAAGCTACGAAAGAGTCATTCTTTATGGGGAATTTCAATCGACAAGCTGATAAAAAGGATTTCTTGAGTTCGTTTAAAAAGGTCGTTATGATGCCCGTTAATGTTCTTCCTACAGCATTATCGTCGCCATTTGGTGCCCATGCTACCAAGCCCTCTCTATCTCAGCCAATGCCACATAGAGCAAGTTTACAAGTGTCTCCAAACCCTTCCAGACCACAAACTCCCGGTCTCGGACCATCTGCTCTTCCATCTGAAGCACCAACGGATGAACTTGCCGCAAAAGCAGCACTGATGGCCTCCAAACTCGAAGGAATCCGCTCTCTATTCAGTATAGAAGTAGCTCTGGATTTGACCCACTCAGCAAAATCCAGTATCGAACGCGCAGCCCTCTTCGTCACTCTTGGCGGCCAAACCGGCGAAGAAGCTCGCGAACAATGCGAAGCCATCTTCGTCGTCTTGTTAGACATCCTCGGAAACCGCCATGTCAGAACTGGCTTCGATAAAGCAGTTTCCCACCTCTCGACCTACAATCCTCGGGAAGTAAGCGAACACCAACAAGGCGTTGCGCCTCTCGTCACCTTCCTGGAACTGGTAAATGTAGGAGATTTGATCTCGCAAATGATAGACGTCTTCTACGAGCAGCAACTCGCTGCTACTAAATTGGCCGATCGAAACGATTTCCTCGATCCAGCGGTAAAAGCAAAGAAGAAATTTGAGCAGATGCTCGACGAACGTGTGGCTGCGGGGTTGAACAAGGGCATTGATGTTTTAATGGATGAAGTCGAATACCTCTGCGCCACCTTTCAGAAACCCACGGATTTCAACCCGCTCCCTGCTACACCTGGGAAGCCGTCGGATTTCGATATCGGTCCCACGGCCGCGGCAAACCGAATTGTCGCACTCGTGGAGTCACATACCAAGATGCTCGTTGGTAGCACAGAAAAAAACATGCTCGACGTGTTCAACCAAGAAGTTGGACTCCGTCTCTTTACGGCATTGTGTAAACACCTGAAGCGTCAACGTATCTCTACAGATGGCGCCATCGCTCTTATCAGCGATATGAATCTTTACTACACTTATATCAAGACCCTTAGGAATAGCGAGTTGTTGGCGTATTTCACGGCTTTGCGGGAGTTGAGTCAGATTTACCTTATTGAGGCGAAGCATGCGAAGGAGCTGGCTGAGGTTATCGCGGACCAGAGGCGCTTTGGAGGCGTTCTGAGGGCGGAAGAGGTTTATGAGTTTGCGGAGCGGAGGGCGGATTGGTATGGGGTTAAGCGGGATGTGGAGAGGGCGATGTATGGGATTGGATGTGGGATTATGTGAGGGGTTTCGGGGTTGGGACAGAAGGCATGGGTGGGGGAAAAGGCTTGGATATTATGATTGGCAAGGATGGAATCGGAGGGGGGGAATTGAATATCTTGATGGAAGGGATTAGGGAGGGGAATGAAAACTTGGTTGGATTACATTGGTTTATCATGATGGGAGGGTGGTGGTAGCGAACGTGGATGTTTAGAAACTAGACTTGGGCGTTGAAAAACAGAAATTAAATAGGATCTTGAGATGCTTATGCGAAGTGAGAGGATGTTCGAACGGCGAGAGGTGGTGAGTAAGATGGGGCAGAAGAACAGAGTGAGTCTGTGTTTGCTCGTTGCTCGTTGCGTAGATGACCCTCAATAGCGGGGAAGAGAGTTCTAGAAGCTAATTACTAGAGAAGTACGAGTAGTAAGAATATAAATGGTAGGTATAACTTAGAAGCAAGAGATAACAACTTACAAGATGGGGTTAAAAACGTCCTCGTGACGGAAGACATGAAAAGAAAACATAGGGGCAAAATGACTAGCTCTCGCTTATTGATCGTACGAGGAGAAACATGAACTCAGTAAATTCCTATCTTGTAAACGCCATTTTTATGCTCACTTCCATGCGCCTAGTACGCCCCGAGTATCCTCATCACTTCATCACTTCATACTCCCAAAATCCAATTTTCTCGCAACCTTCGTGCCCCGCTCATCATCCAAAACCCCAGGTCCCCTCTTCAGATCCTCCCCAAGCTTTTCCAAACCTCCACCCTTCTTTGGTAAATTCTGCTTCTTTGTTGGTTTAGGTTCACTCTTCCACCAGCCATGTTCTAATATCTGTCGTGCTGTAATTCTTTTCCTGGGGTCCAGGATAAGCATCTTCATCAGTAGATCGACGCCTTCGGCACCTGCGGTCCCGAACATCGAGTTGTAGTGGGCAACAGGTTGGATTGGTGTAGCTGGTGCGGGGACGGCGTAGTGTTCGAGTTTTGAGACGCCAGGCCAGTTTTCTTCGGTAGGTGTTCCGACCAGAGCGCAGATTTTGGAGATTTGATCGACTTCTGTGTCGCCTGGGAGATAGGGATTTCGAATCACGAGTTCTGCGAAGACGAGACCTATGGACCAGATGTCTACGGCGCCGGAATAGGATCGTGCTCCGAATAGCAACTCTGGTGGTCGATACCAGCGTGTGATTACCATATTCGACATCACTCGGTATGGATCCGCAAAACTCCTCGCGAGACCGAAATCTGCGAGTTTGATCCCCCCATCCGCCGCGATCAGCAAGTTGTTGGGCTTGATATCGCGGTGGAGCACGAAGTTCTCGTGGCAGAACCAGATTGCTCGGCCTAGCATTCCCATCCAAGCTTTTATATCGGCCGCTCCGTAGCGTACTCCTTCGATGTCCTTGATCAACATTTCGAGGTCGCCGAGGGGCAGGTATTCGAGGACAAGATTGAGGTTTTGGTCCCGAGAGGAGAAGACGGAGAGGAGGGAGATGATGTTGGGGTGGGAGAGTTCTTGGAGGTGTTTGAGTTCGCGGACTGCATCGGGGGCGAGGCCTTCTTTGTAGTCTTCTTGGATTTTAATCTTTTTTATAGCGACGAGTTTGGAGGGGTCGGATTTGACGTGGCCGAGGTATACTATAGCATAGGTTCCTTCTCCTAGCTTTTTGCCTGTGTGGAATTGTTAGAGAGCCATTGGAGGGGTGGTGAGGTTGGAATGCTGGTAAGTTACCTTTGATGTATTTCTGTTTTTCATCCTCATTCATTTGTTCCGCCAGATCGGCTCCTCCGGATCCGGGTGGCGGGCCATTATTTGGGTTGGGTGTGCCAGAAGAGGAAGTTACTGCAGATGCTGCTTGGAGTTTAGATTTGGCTGTTGCAGCAGTCCTCTCCCCAGAAGCAGAACCAGGCACAACAAGGGGGGAGAGTGCCATTGTTGATTTCCTGTAGGTTAGGGATACCTAATTTGCCTTCAGATACCAGACCTGGAGCTATGCCATTGAATAACTGGTGTGGTGTTCCCAATGGGTTGTTGTGAGGGTCAGGCCTACCTAGTCTTGAAGGACACTAACCGACCTCTCCAAAACAATCAACCAGGCTGAAGTTGAAGCTCCACCAAGACAAGGCTGCGAATGCTATGAAGAGATTGCGGCCTGAGGTACTGCCCGATATATGAGGACAATAGATTAGCCACAATACTCGTAGTTTCTCACACAGCCACCGAAGTCTAGAATCTGCAGAATCCTTATCTCCGAATCTCCGAACCGCTCCTTCCCCTTCAACAGCACAGCACGCACAGCACAGCACGCACAGCACAGCACACCTCAGCGCACAAGCATCCGACGTCATATGATCTCCATGACGTGGTGGCGGCGCTTGGCTTGGTAGCTTGAATCAGCCAGTCTCCTTGGTAGCTCCGTAGTTTTTGATGCAGACCTTGCTCCTCCATCCATTTTCAAGCTGGAAATGGTTGGGCCACATCATTCTTCCCAGTCTTGACGTTGCGTCAACACTTGTGGCTGGAGAAATCCGAGGTTGCCGCAGTTTTGCTTCTGTGCGAATCCGTTTCATTCTTTAAGGTTAATACTGGTACGCAAGTACTCTTTCGTTTCCAATTCCATTGCCCATCTCCCTCTTTCGCCATTCACTACCAGCAATATCACCCCTGCATACCCTCAAGAGAGCATCCTATGACCGCCTGATCTGAGCTTCACGTTCAGCTTCTCCACGACTCACGAATTGTCCAATCAATCCTCGTCGTCATGTTGGGGTTATCATACTGGGTACGTCGTGTTTGCATCACAACAACACCATGGAAAAAATATACTTATATACAAGTACTTACCATTGTGTAGATGCTTCCAGTCTTTTCCAGTCTAGTATGGCTCGGAACACTAATGGGTCTCCTAATCCACTGGACCACATCGGGCAGACCCCAATATCAATCTATGGATCCAACCCAGACAATAGCCTACATTTCCGACGTCGGCGCGCAATCCCTCAAACCACTCTTCGTCACCGGCTGCGTTTTAACATCTATTTTCCTCGACGCCTCATTCATATCCGAGATCGTTCTCAGGTATAAGGGAAGATTAGCCAGGAATTACTCGAGAACGGAGAAGATTTTGAGTGTATTAAGTGTGATCTTTGCCATTGTCGGCACGATTGGGTTGATTTGCTTGAGCGTGTTTGACACGTTGAGACATCCGCAACTACATGATCTTTTCCTTGTCCTCTTTATTTTTGGATATATCGTCTCGGCAGTTTTCATTTGCTGGGAGTATCAAAGACTTGGAATACGTACGTCTTCCCTCCTCTATCCCTTCCAAGTCAGCCTTTACTGATACATATACCAGACTATCGACAACACAAAATCCTCCGGTATTCATTCTGGATCAAATTAGCCTTCATTCTTATCGAAGTCGGACTCGCAATCGCCTTTGCCGTCACCCAGAAAACGAAGAAATACGATATGGCAGCTATCCTCGAGTGGACTGTAGCATTTGTCTTCACCTTTTACGTTATGTCATTTTTCGTCGACCTCATCCCTGCATTGCGAACGAAAGACAAGAGTCAGCGCTTTACGAAGGGGAATGGTCGCACTGTAATGTCGATAGAACAGAATGATGGACTCGCAACCGCGGAAATCAATATGCATGATCGGGAACGTAGACTTGAGGATGGGAGTAGTGACCGGACGCTGGGGAGGAATAATGTCGGGATGGTAAATACACCCATGCCTCCGCCCCCCGCGAAATATCGAGCTCCTTAGGATGGGTTGGAAGGGCAATTGATCCATGGTGATGACTTGATGAACTGATGAGTGACGACGTCGACGGAAATGTAGATATAATGACAGGCCCGACGCTTAGTCGGTTCATTGGGGGATTTGAAAGGAGTGCATTGCTGGGAGTTTGCTTTAGACGGAGCAAGGAAGAAAAAGATTGTATAGTCTGTTTTTCGCGTGGCGATAGGTAGCGTCGGCGTTTAGGGTGTTTTGCTTGCATACGCATAGATACATGAGAATAACACCAATGATAATTATTCCAGATTTTTCAAAAAAGGAAAGGATTTCCTGTGCTTATTCGTTGTGAGAGGTTGTGGAATGCGACCGGTACTGTTGTGTAAGCGGAGCCGCAGAGAATCTTAGAAGGGGGAGGGGAGATGACACAAACGACCCTGTGGGGTGGGCCGTTGGAGATGATTTTTCCAGTGGTACGGCGAGTACGGTATGTAAGGTCTCATTGGTTATGGTTCTTATTGGCTCTTTGGGTTCTTGTACTTGAGTACCTAGGTACTTACTTGTAACTTACTTCCATATAACCAACCCCCTTTATTCATGAAAGTACCTTATAGGAGGACCCAGGTTTTTGCGACCGTCGTATAAGCGTTAGTAATTAGACTCCGTTCTAGGAGCGTTCCTACTTAGTAATCGTTCCGAGGGATAATTAGTATAGTAGCTAATTATTATCCTATATAACTATTATACGATTATTACTACTTATAACTATTCGAGTTTAAAGAATAGTTATCTATTATAACTATTCTAGGACAGTTCTAGGACTGTTCTCGAGAACCCTCTTAAATAGCGAGAGGAGCAGGGGTTGCACGGACAAATGCAAGTACTCGGTACTACTCCTATAGGCTCAACCTTAACGCTATATAGATTTAGGTTTTAAAATCGGTCGATTCGGGCAATTTTGACAGGCACACGGCTAAGGGGCTTTAACGTGCGGTTCTAGTACGTGCGTCTTACGCTGGCACAGGTGAGGGCAAGGGTGAGGGTAAGGGTAAGCGAGTACCTTCCTTAACCCAGGGCATTCCCAGGCTTAGTACCCCTCCTCACCTACCTAGGTAAAAGTCCTAGAACGCTCCCGAAACGCTCCTAGGACTATTATAAACGATTATGTAAAGTAACGTCTTAGCCCTAGGGTAACAATTACTACTATAAATAATTAAGAAATTCTTAGTCGTACCTAAACTATTACTAAACAAAATAGTTCTTACTAGGGAAGCTGTGACGAAACCGGTATCTAACTGAAGGTATCGAGTTCGAAGGTTGGTATGCGAAGAGAGAAGACAATATATCACGGGTTGTTTACTTGGAAGTAAACTCGTCACTTGTACAAAGTCGTCAAAGTCAAAAGGTATTGATAAATGTGTAAACTAAGTTGAGCACGAAGCTCCTATCTAATGGCAGATGTGCCAGTCTTATATAGAACCTTCATGTTCTGCCATCGCCTACATCGCCTGTCGATGTTGTCGATATTGGCGATGCAATTGGTCACGTGATTAAAATGTAATGAAATCCCTGGATCGCTTAGCTAGCCTAAGCATCCCAACCTTTTCAAGACAAATAAAAAACGCGTAATATTAACGCGTTTTTATTATTGAATCACTCTATCATATCTACCTACTGAGCTCTTACTCCTTGCAAAGCGCAGCCGCGCCTAGCGCAGACGCGCGTTGGCCCCAAAAATGGCCCCCCCGCCCCCTACAACATCCTCAGCTACCCCCCCCAGCCTACCTCTATGTCCTACCAACTAGAGAACATTATAAACGCAGCTACAACCCGCGCAGAGGAAGCCCGGCTTGTGTTCAGCCCTATCGCAGCTCTTTGGGACGACTACAGACAATCCGAAGACGTCCAAAAGCTCCCCTCAAGGCTCCGCAAACCCCTCTCTACCCTGTGCACAGAAATCACAGAAGTAGTAAACAAGCACTTTGAGTCATATATCAAAGGTGCCCCTCTACGTAAACATATTCAGACGCCTAGCTTTACGCCGTTAAGCGCCTCACACGCAGCCCCTGACACCCAAGCTACCCCAACCTCCTGCAGAACATACGCAGCAGCAGCTTCTACCCCCCTCCCAATCACACCAGAGCAACCCCTCAGGAAAGCTGGGAGCCCCCCCCAGAGAAGCAAGGCATATAACTCCCCACGACCAGAGACACGCCTATTCGTCCGTATATCAAATGAACACCCTGCACGTGAAGCAGGCTCGTTTGCTATACTCACTGCTTTAAAAAGGTCATTAGGCGCCGATGCAAGCCTTCTCAGAGAGGTACTTGAAACTAAGTCGGGTTACGCACTCTGCACAGGGTCTAAAGAAGCGCTCCATGCACTTGCGTTACGAGCAGACGACATTAAAGCCTATATAACAGACTGTATAGTTGAAAAGCAATCCTCCTGGACAACATACAGACTCTCAGGGGTCCCACTATCAGTACGCTGCTACAACAGCCAAGGCTCTCTAACAAATGTAAAAGTCACAGGAGCCACCCTCTTTGAGACAATCCTTGACTATACAGGCCAAAAAGCCATCCACGCAGCTGAGGCAAAAGCTAGCCAGAACGAATATACAACCAACTGGCTAGTCCACTTCCCCTCAGCCAACCACCAGGAGCTAAGCAGAAGCCTACGCATCCTCGGGACCTTGGTTACAGTCACCCCCCTCCCGCCTCGAACAAGAGTCACACAGTGCACAAGATGCTTCCAGTGGCACAATTCCCGAACCTGCTCAAGAGCGCAACGATGCCGTCTCTGCGGCTCTACGAAGCACCCTGAGGCAGACCACACAACACAGTGCGCTACTGCCAGCCCACATACCTGCCCTGCCAGGTGCCTACACTGCGGAGGACCACACGCAGCAGACTCTTCCTACTGCCCTCTACGCCCAGCAAAGAATGGACCCAGAACTAAGAGTCAGAGAGAGGCTATTATAGCCACCTTTAAGTCAAAACAGGCAATAGAGGCACTCAGCTGTACAAGACAGACCCCCCTAGACATAGTTATGGCAACTGTAATCCCACAGACTCCTTCTT